ACAAGAGGTTTCATGTCGTCATTCATATGGGAAAAAGTTGGAAAGAGGTGTTCAAGAAATTATTACCAGAGATAATATTCAGACCAGACAGCAAGAAAACAATTATTTAGGATATAATAAAGCACTTTTCCAACATTGGAAATTTTATGTAAAGAACCCAAAGAGCTATTAAGATTTACAAATATCAAAATATAGGGGTAAGAATATCAAGTCTTACAGCATGAATACTATTTTAAAGTTTACTATGCATCAAATCCAAATTATTCTGGATTATTTCAGTAGATCCATTTATGCTGATATAGCATTTGAGAAAATTCCTGAAAAAATTGGATAATAAGAATGTATCACTAATTTCCATATCATGCTTGTGCTTCTTATATTAACATAGTATTAAAAGAAGATTCATATCTATCGTTATACCATAGTAATGAATTAATGATGGATATAAATTTAAAAGTTCTGGCTCATGCCTAGGATGTGAGCAAGAGCCTAGTAAAAGGAAGGTATTTGGCCGATACAAAAAGGGTTTTTACTACATTAATTACCAGTCATCACCATATGAAAAAGAAATTAAGATAAATGTTTTATTGGAAATGATCTTTACGATGAGTGACTCGATCACGCTCAATTCTTATGATGATGCAACTACTGTAACTGGAATGAAACATATTATGAAAGAGAAACATACCATGATTAGCCAAATAACTGTGATGTATCATACTTGGATATGTTATATTCGGATGATGACAGGAGATATTATATTCTGGGGAGATAAGCTATAAAGAGACTGCAGTATTATAGATTTTAATAATTAGGTGACTTATTACTAGCATGATATCTAAGTATAGCTAATTATATCAGCCAACAAGGTTCTGAAATTCAATTTGATATTCTGATATTTGATTTGAAAAAACAAATCAAATCCAAGAATGATTTATTTGATTAATCTTTGATTTAATTCGATCAAATTCAAATCAAATATCCAAATAATTAATTTGATTGGAATCAATAGTAATGTTATTTTCAAAGAAAAAATGCTTTTGCAGCTTCAGAAACATTATTTATCAAGAAACTATTAGTAAAAATACTTCTGCATCTGCAGCTTTTAAGATATTAGTTTACAAAGAAATCTATAGTAAAAAAACTTTTACAATCTCAGATATATTATTTACTAAGAAACCCATAATAAAAGTAACTTTACAGCTATTAAAAGATTATCAAAATTAATCTACAAATTATTATTTGACTTAGTTGACAAATATGACAAATTAGTCATATATGATCGATCTACCATATTTATTATATTTATCATATTTGTCAGATTTGTCATATTTGTTATATTTATTAATTATATATTATTTATTATATTTATCTTATTTATTATATTAGATATATTTACCTTATTATATTACTATTAGTTTATTTTATACAAATAGTATGTATTTGTCCTTAAGTTGAAGAATAACTTGAGATTAAGATTGGTAAATAAACTAAGAATTAACTAATTATCTTCAAATAATAAATATCAATAAAGATGATTTGACCCTTCAATTAATTAATCTTGTGTATATTTCTTTCATAGTTTAGACGTAATTAAACTCCTTGTTAGCAAATATAAATTGTTAACTTAATAATGTACAGATTAAGCTTAATAACATTTTTACTAAAATATCTTGTAAAAATTTCACTTGTAATTTCATAAACTTTTACTAAAAAATTCCCTATAAAAATACCTTTATAGCTTTATAAGCATATTTACTAATAAATAATTTTGAAATCATAAAGACAATTATTACTAAGTTTTTTTTTAGTAAAACTAAATCTGTAGAAGTATTTTACTAAGTTTTATTAGTAAAATTGAAGCTATAGAATTTTTTATTATATATAACTAATATTACTAATAATATTTTAATAAAAGCTTTAAAATTTATTTTTATATATAATAGTATAAATTAAACAATTTTTTATATTTAATTTAATTTAATTAAAAATAATTCAATCAATATTTAATTTGATTTAAAATAAAGAATATTTAATTCAATTTGATTAGATTAATCATATATTTAACTCATTTTGATTTGATCCAATCAAATATTTGATTTAATTTGATTTAATTTGATTTAATTAGAAAAAATTAAATCAAAATTAAATTATTTTAATATTTGATTTAATTTGAGAATTTTATTAGCTAAAGGTAAAAACTATAATAAGTATGTAGTAATTTTTAATATTACAATATATGTTGCAATTAGTTTTAACCTATATATATTGCAACTTATAATATTTTAATATATGTAACAACTAATTTTAGTTTATATTGCAATAATTTGTAAATTTAAAATTAATTGTTGCATAATCTTTATTATTAATTAATAAGAACTTGAGAGTAAATTAGTAAAATCAGTATTCTAATCTAAATATCCAACTGCATGAAAATTTATCTAAACTGTATAATTATAAGTTAATTCTAACTTGTATATATTTTACTATTTTTTAATTTCTAAACTTATGATTAATAAAATAAGATTCTTCAGAACAGATTATTTTCATAGATTTGAAAAATAATTATCAATGAATAATACTTATTATATTTTATATATCTCGTATTTATATATATATTAATTAAAAGTATTTTTTTAAAAGATAAATTAACTTAAATTTTTTATATGATCCAGTGCAAAAAGATATGTACCTCAAATATAATGCTAAAAATAAAATTTTTTATTAAATAAAATTTATTTTTTTATTTATATCATATCAATACATATTTGGAAACATAAAAATATAAAAATTAAATTAAAATCATTAATCATCATCAGAATCACCATAGTCGTCAAAATCTTCTTCAATTAATTACACATTCTCATCAATTTCATGATATTCTTTATCATATTTAAGTGCTCGACTAACTATAACTTTTAAGTTAATTTTTTCTTTAAATGCATCTAATAGTATGTTTTAAATAAATAAAAGGTTTAGATATAAACCTGAACTTGCAACTTTACTCTTTACAATTGCTCAAATACCTTCAATTGGTTGAAGTTCACAATGATAAGGAAGGGTAAAAAAAATTTGATGATTATACCGTTCTGCTATTTTGACGCACGTAAATGACACTTTTTCATTATTCATTTGGACTAACTCCAAAAGTTCTGGCCTTCGTAACTCATCAGAAAATTCAATATTATGAGTAATTAGCTAATCAATTATTTCTTATTTTCTTGTACTGTAAGTTGGAATATTTTTAACTCACCGTTATAACAGTGTAAAATTTTGGCTAAAATCTGATTACAAATCTAATGTCAATTAAATGTCCTTATTTATCATCTCATCGATCCTGATGTCAACTTTATATCCTGAGATAATCAATATGAAAAATTGTAGATCCAGATGTCAATTTTATTTTTAATGTAACGGGTAACTTTATTGACATGATCATCTTTGCTGATTGATTTTATCAACTTTATTTCCTTGATGATGTCATTTATTTTTTATAGATTTATTTAGTTTAATTCATTTTATAATTATCAAACATGTATAAATATCACTATATTTTTATTAAGTCTCAATACTTTACAAGGTAAAGAACTTACAATTTATTATATTATTAATAAAGAGTATAATTAACCAAGTTAAAACTTATCCTTTGCAAACCCTTTTACCTGTGTATATATTATTATTATTTATTAACTTTGCATAGTATTGTATTGATTCGTTGTATTAACTTAAGATGTAGTCACTGAAACGTAATCTCTGAAATATTCAGAAGTTACTCATGTTGTTAAATGAAATAACTTTTGCCCTAGTGATTATATTTCAATGGAAATACGATCATTAGAACCGTCTCATTGAGAGCTTCCTAACGAATATAAAACAAGATTATTGGACCAATAGGAGTGGATATAATTCGAAAAGAGTGATTGCTATTATAATTCTGCAGATCACTACTAAAGAAAGCCGTAATTTCTTAAGCCGCAGCCCGACGAT